AAACATGATGTGGGGTTTTTTTCATTAATAATTTAATATACTACAGGGTTATTCATTGCAGTATTATTTTTAATAGCAAAAGATTACAGAGAAATGAATTTCCAATAGAGTATCAGTAAGTAAATTATAGTACATCACACAATATAAAATATTGTATTACTCTGTAGGAAAAAAAAAAACTAAATGAGTTATTTTTATGTGGAAAGAATGATCTCCAAAGATAATGTAAAACAAAAAAATAATTAAAGTATCCTAGCTTATGTTTTTGCAAAATGATAAAGAATATGAATGTGTGGTTCTTTTCAGAATGGGAACTAGCTATCCATATGATAGGGATGTTATGGAGACTATTCCCTATGTTCTTTGAACCATGTGAATATATTCCATATTCAAAATAGCATATAAAATATAAATCTTTAAAATAAATGAGAATAAGTAAATACTCTGTGAACATTATGCTCAGAGGAACCAATTTTGCCCTTTTTCTTATTTTCCAAGTCTTAACACAGATAGAAATTATATTAGACTGGGTGTGGTGACTCACGCCTGTAACTTTGGCACTATGGGAGGCTAAGGCGGGTGATCATCTGAGGAAAGGAGTTGGAGACTAGCCTGGCCAACATAGTGAAATCCCATCTTTACTAAAAATAAAAAAGGAGCTGTGCATGGTGGTGCATGCCTGTAATCCCAGCTACTTGGAGACAGGAGAATCACTTGAACCCGGGAGGTAGAAGTTTCTGTGAGCTGAGATCAAGCCGCTATACTCTAGCCTGGGTGACAAAATGAGACTCTGTCTCAAAAAAAAAGAAAAGAAATTATTTTAGTAATTACTTAATATTTGGTGTTAGCCTAGAGCTAATCCTATGTAATTAGGAATTCTTAGGTAATTCCTCTAGATCTACATAGGTTTTTCTTTTCCTTTTCTCTCACTATATGACTGTGATCTGCTTAGAATGAGTTGGTACATATTTGCTCTGACTTACCTTGTTTTCACCCTAATACGTTTCATTTTGGCTATAAAATCTATAGAAAATTCCAATCTAAGGAAAGAAATGAGCTTGCACACAATCTAAATTACACATAATTTTAATTAAATTTACACATAATCCTAAATGTTCTTAATGAATGCCTTTTTTGTCTCCATAAAGTAACACTTTCCTTCATTACAAAAAAATTTATTCCAACATAGGGACAAGGGACTTCATAAAATCACCTAGGATGGAGTTTCTATAAACATAATTAAAGCAAAGTTAGATATCCTAGCATATCTGTATAAAAGTTAGATATGTCAGTGATTGGAATTTATATGACCTTCATTTTATGGCAAGAAATTTTCTTAGAGTTCTTAAGAAATGTACATTTTGGACTCAACTTGGAAAATTTCAAAAATCAAAGGTAGATAAAGTAATTTTAAGCCTTATAAAATTTTATTTTAAAAGAGATAGATTTTTGCATTTAGAAGGTCGTTTGTTACCTGAAAATGTTCTGGGATCATTTTTATATTTGCCTCCAGAGTTATTGAACTAACAGGGGATGTGACTCCTGATATGAAATCCATTGCCAAGGCTGACCTTATCGTCACTACGCCAGAGAAGTGGGATGGAGTCAGCAGAAGCTGGCAAAATAGGAGCTATGTTCAGCAAGTCACTATTCTTATCATAGATGAGATCCATCTGCTTGGTAGGTACCACTGTATCTAAAGCCAGTTTACAAACTTTAACTTTCTAAAATATTAATTATTAGTATTATTTTTAATTTGCATGTAATAATCATTATATTTATGGGGTACAATGCAATTTTTTATATATGTATATAATGTAGAATTATTAAATCAAACTAATTAACATATCTATCACCTTACGTATAAATTGTGGTGAAACATAAAAAATTTTCTCTTAGTGTATTAATCTGTTCTCACATTGCCATGAAGCAATACCTGAGACTGGGTAATTTATTTTTAAAAAGAGGTTTAATTGACTCAAGATTCTACAGGGTGTATAGTAAACTTAGTAGCTCCTGCTTCTGAGGAGGCCTCAGGAAGCTTTCCATCATGACTGAAGGTAAAGCAGCAGAGAGCTTTTTACATGGCAAGAGCAGGAACAAGAGAGCAAGGTAGTGGGGGAGATGCTACACACTTTTAAACAACCAGATCTCGTGAGAATTCACTCACTATCATGAGAATAGCACCAAGAGGATGGTGCGAACCAATTTTGCCCTTTTTCTTATTTTCCAAGTCTTAACACAGATAGAAATTATATTAGACTGGGTGTGGTGACTCACGCCTGTAACTTTGGCACTATGGGAGGCTAAGGCGGGTGATCATCTGAGGAAAGGAGTTGGAGACTAGCCTGGCCAACATAGTGAAATCCCATCTTTACTAAAAATAAAAAAGGAGCTGTGCATGGTGGTGCATGCCTGTAATCCCAGCTACTTGGAGACAGGAGAATCACTTGAACCCGGGAGGTAGAAGTTTCTGTGAGCTGAGATCAAGCCGCTATACTCTAGCCTGGGTGACAAAATGAGACTCTGTCTCAAAAAAAAAGAAAAGAAATTATTTTAGTAATTACTTAATATTTGGTGTTAGCCTAGAGCTAATCCTATGTAATTAGGAATTCTTAGGTAATTCCTCTAGATCTACATAGGTTTTTCTTTTCCTTTTCTCTCACTATATGACTGTGATCTGCTTAGAATGAGTTGGTACATATTTGCTCTGACTTACCTTGTTTTCACCCTAATACGTTTCATTTTGGCTATAAAATCTATAGAAAATTCCAATCTAAGGAAAGAAATGAGCTTGCACACAATCTAAATTACACATAATTTTAATTAAATTTACACATAATCCTAAATGTTCTTAATGAATGCCTTTTTTGTCTCCATAAAGTAACACTTTCCTTCATTACAAAAAAATTTATTCCAACATAGGGACAAGGGACTTCATAAAATCACCTAGGATGGAGTTTCTATAAACATAATTAAAGCAAAGTTAGATATCCTAGCATATCTGTATAAAAGTTAGATATGTCAGTGATTGGAATTTATATGACCTTCATTTTATGGCAAGAAATTTTCTTAGAGTTCTTAAGAAATGTACATTTTGGACTCAACTTGGAAAATTTCAAAAATCAAAGGTAGATAAAGTAATTTTAAGCCTTATAAAATTTTATTTTAAAAGAGATAGATTTTTGCATTTAGAAGGTCGTTTGTTACCTGAAAATGTTCTGGGATCATTTTTATATTTGCCTCCAGAGTTATTGAACTAACAGGGGATGTGACTCCTGATATGAAATCCATTGCCAAGGCTGACCTTATCGTCACTACGCCAGAGAAGTGGGATGGAGTCAGCAGAAGCTGGCAAAATAGGAGCTATGTTCAGCAAGTCACTATTCTTATCATAGATGAGATCCATCTGCTTGGTAGGTACCACTGTATCTAAAGCCAGTTTACAAACTTTAACTTTCTAAAATATTAATTATTAGTATTATTTTTAATTTGCATGTAATAATCATTATATTTATGGGGTACAATGCAATTTTTTATATATGTATATAATGTAGAATTATTAAATCAAACTAATTAACATATCTATCACCTTACGTATAAATTGTGGTGAAACATAAAAAATTTTCTCTTAGTGTATTAATCTGTTCTCACATTGCCATGAAGCAATACCTGAGACTGGGTAATTTATTTTTAAAAAGAGGTTTAATTGACTCAAGATTCTACAGGGTGTATAGTAAACTTAGTAGCTCCTGCTTCTGAGGAGGCCTCAGGAAGCTTTCCATCATGACTGAAGGTAAAGCAGCAGAGAGCTTTTTACATGGCAAGAGCAGGAACAAGAGAGCAAGGTAGTGGGGGAGATGCTACACACTTTTAAACAACCAGATCTCGTGAGAATTCACTCACTGTCATGAGAATAGCACCAAGAGGATGGTGCTAAGCCATTTAGGAGAAACCGCCCCCATGATCCTATCACATCCAACCAAGCCCCACATCCAACATTGGAGATTACAGTTCAACATGCAATTAGCAATTTTGCAATTTAGCAATTTTGAAATATACAATATATTATTATTAACTGTTGTCACATTGCTGTACAATTGATCTGACAAACTTATTTCTCCTGTCCAACTGAAACATTGTACCCTTTGATCACCATCTCTCTGTTCCCTTCTCTTGTGACTCTAACCCATGCCCCTAGACTCTGGTAACTACGTTTCTTCTCTTTACTGCCATGAGGTCAGTTTTTTTTAATTCAACATCTAAGTGACATCATGCACTGGGAGTGGGATTGCTGAATCCTTTGGTAGTTCTATCTTTAGTTTTCCTTTTTTTTTTTTTTTTTTTTTTTTTTGAGGAAGCTACAAACTTTTCCTTTTGTGGTTGCAGTGGCCAACACAGACTTGTTAAATGATTAACATTGATTTTTCCCTATTTTCTAGGGGAGGAAAGAGGCCCTGTTCTAGAGGTCATTGTATCTCGAACAAATTTTATCTCATCACACACAGAAAAGCCTGTTAGAATAGTTGGACTGTCTACTGCATTAGCTAATGCCAGAGACCTTGCTGACTGGCTCAATATTAAGCAGGTATGTAGAAGATTGATAAATTATACATTTATTTAGTAGTGTGACTTTGATGATTCCTTTAAAGCAATATAATAACATTATAAAATTCAGTCTAAAAATTGAAAATGGTTTCTCTCTCATATTTACTCTAGATGGGCTTGTTTAACTTCCGACCATCAGTACGCCCAGTTCCACTGGAAGTTCACATTCAGGGCTTTCCAGGTCAACATTACTGTCCTCGTATGGCTAGTATGAACAAGCCTGCATTTCAGGGTAAGCTTCAGATTCTTGGAATAAAATAGTAACCATTGTTTATGGTAGCTATCAAATGTCTTCTAATTGGTGTTGGTTTCTTTGAAAGGATAATACTGGTCCAGCTTCTACAAATATCTCAAACAGTTTGTGTCAAATGTTAAAGAATACAAATGTATGTTAAATTACCTATTGAAAATTGGAGAGATTTCACAAATGGTAATGACTTTGTAGAAGAATAAAAGTATGTAATTTTAAAAAGTTATCAGAGTTTTCTTAATATTAATCAAAGTGTTTTTATGATAGTAGCTTGAACATATGAGAAATGGAAGCTACAAGTCAAAAGCATCTCATAATCATTTTTATGAGAAATCATAAAACTTAGAAATTTCAGTACTTTAGTACAGTGCTTCTGTTTTTAGTTTTTCCTCTTCTAACAAATTAGGCAAGCAAACAGGAAAGATTTAAGAATAGCACTCCGATTTTATTGAAACATGTTTTATTTGGGCTGCATAAAGAATATTTATTATATCAATTAAAAATAACCTCAAAAATAAATTCTCAAATGTGAACTGCTGTTGATTGTGTGGTGACAGTTGTGAGGTGACTTTTTAGCTGCTGTAATTAGCCTTATGACAGAAGCAAAGTATTGATTGTGAACTAGAGACCAATTTTGGCAGTTCAGATTATTTACACCTCCACAGAAGCATTGTACAAAATCACTAATGAACAATAAATCTGCCATGAGCTGTTCAGCCACACCTGTTCTTTCAGCAGCAAAAATCCATTAAATGTTGAGGCTTAAAGAAAGACAGAGATCCATTTATATTTATGTGTCCAAATGATACCAATACTGTACTAATATGTGTATTTTAAATGGTGTATCTCTAATATGATTTATCAAACTTTATCGTTTACATTGGATAACATTCTGATAAATAATAAAAATAATGAGAAATAAGATAAATGAGTTTATTTTTCATAATATATATTGTTGAAATTGCATATATCTATATGGAATGACTGCATACCGTTGATGGAAAGGAAGCGTTTGTGTTGTGTAAATCAATAGTAAATAACTAAAATACTTATACTTCCGTAGATATGGTATCTGCACAGCAGCTATACTTATGTACTATTTATTATACCTGTAGTGATTACTATATTTCTTTGAGTTTAGAAATATGATTGTGTGATAGCTTTATTTCTCATAGTTAGAATGTAAATAAAGTCAAGGTCATGTCAACATTTCCATTATAAACCTTGTTTCCCAGCCCATAAAAAGAAATTCTGCAGTTCACATTTCAAACAAGAAATTACAAAGCAGTTGAACTTTTTATATAAAATTTTTACATGTCTCTGACTGTTTTAAGAGAGTTGTGTAGACATAAATATATATTCTACTCGTGGCATCTTATCAGCTTTTTGGAGCCTATGTAAAGCAAAAAAAAAAAAAAAAAAAAAAACACCTCATTTCAGTATAAGCCAAGTGATTTATGTGGCTCTTTAATTATTTTTAAAGATTTGATGTACAAAATTGCCTTCAGTCTTGTTACTCTGGTTTGTGTTGACCAGAGTCATCTCATCTTCTTTGTGTTGACTACCATGTCCCATTACTCAGATACTCATTCAGGCATAGAATTCTCTTCAGCCCCCTTCTACATTCTCTTGTCTGCCCTTCTCACACATATGCTTTTAGAAAAACAGAGGGAAAACTTTCTTCTGATTTATCTCTTAACCTGTTTACTGGTACAAACTCTCCTAATTTTTCTATCACTGATAACAAAAATAAAAGGTACTTTTTGTGGTCTTTTTAGACATTTTCCATCACCTGGCAGGACTTGGTTTTCTCACCAGACCCCAGGACCAGTTAACTCTGTAATATCACTGCTTAGGCAATACAAATAGCTAAGAAACACAATTTAGCACAGAAAACTCAATCTAAGATTCAGTGTCTATGTATAGCTCTTAATGGAGAGTCTCAATCTTTAAGTTTCTCCTTCCTTGGCAGCTCAGAATAGAACTTGGACCCAGCATAATTAAATCTTTTCTGAGGCAATATACTCTCTAGGTAGGGCCATCAACTTTTCTTTTCCTATTAATCTGTCTAATATGCTGCCAGATCCGTGTAGTACCTGCAATAATGCCAGATTTCATGCCTAAATTGTTTCCATCATTAGTTTTCATGTATCCATTTGATATCCTACTGAAATTCATATTCTGGGGTTAAGTAGCTTTCCATTTTATTTCCCACAACTTTTCAACAGCAATTAGAAGCCACTCTCCCGCCAAACCTGTTTTGATATTTGTCTCATCAAGACGTCAAACTCGTCTTACTGCTTTGGAATTGATCGCCTTCCTGGCTACTGAAGAAGATCCAAAGCAGTGGTTAAACATGGATGAAAGAGAGGTAAGCACCATCTTTTATCTTCTACTACTTATACGTTTCAGGTTATATTGTATTAGAATGAACATTATGTATGTAATTATATTATAGGGAAAGAATAAATCCTTAATACCGCCACCTTACCACACTATTAATATTCTGATATAGTTTGTTCTAGTATAGTCCCACTTAATATTTATTTTGTATATTTGTATTTATATCTTTTTCCTTTAACATTATCACCTATGTATGTTGTAACATTCAACCATTTTCATATTCTTTGAGTATTCACTGCCCTCACTGAAGTTAAAATCAATTTTGCAAAGTTTGGGTTTTTAAAAATATGTAATAATCTTTTTTTAATTTTAGGAAGCACTAACATATAAAAATTTAAAAACTGCTTTATCGTTTCCCTAAGTAATAACCACCAGTAAAATTTTAAATTATAATTTTTGTGTCTATGCAGTTATATTCCATTATGCAACTATTTCATAGTGGTTTTGTCCTGTAAGTTAATAACCATTCATCTTTATTATTGTAGATTTTTCTCTGTTTAAAATTGTATTCTCAGTATAGAGTTCTAAAAATAAAATTAGTGGGTCAAATGATGTGAATATTTTTACAGCTTTTTCAGATACACTCCTAATTACTTTCCAAAAGAACTGTACTTATTGGCGTAATCACCACTGATGTATGAGTTATCAGAAGTATATGAGAATAACAGTTTTACTGCATCCTCATTTGTTGCAACTTATTGATATATTATAGATAAAATATTATCTTAATGTATGCCTTGATTTTTGTATGGTTGAACTTTTTTTTTCATGTGTTTACTAGTTGTCTTCTTTTTTCCTTGTTGCCTCTTCATTTCTTTGGTCTTTCATCTATTCCAGTACAGCACTTATTTTGTAGATTTGTGTGAGAGATTTGCCAAATTTAGAAAAATATATACATATATAAAATTTTATACATTACTTTTCTCCGTATATATGTATTTCTATACATATATACATATTAATCTTTTGCCTGCTGTATTAGGTAACTTTGCTAGTTTATTGCTTGTCTTCTTATCATGGTGTCTTTTTACGAATAGAAGACTTTGCATTTTATGTAATCCAGTTTGTTAGTATGGTCCTTTGTGATTCTTTATACGACATCTAAATATAGATATTCCTCCTCCTCTCTATAGATTTAATATATAGTGATTGTTCTTTCTTACACTTTTCCAGTTTTGAAAAATATTTTCCTAAATGGAGTTACAATGAAAACAGATGAAATCAGTAGCATAATTGTTGAGTTGTGATCTCGCCACCTACCCTCTTCCGTGTTCCCACTTTGTAATCTCATGTAGGCTAAAGAAGAGCAGTGCTCTTCAGCATCAGTAAAAAACAATGTTCCGAACCCACTGGTGTCCAGGATTAACAGTTTGCATATTTCTCCCCTTCTACTTCTCATAACTCATTTAGAGTTAGTAGGACCGTTGGATAGTACTCTATATCTTACATTATTGTGTAATGGTTAACTGATATTTCAGAATGGTTTTGCTTAGTTCCATAGATGACCTTATTCACTAACAGACTCATAAAATAGCTTAATATGCGGACTATCAAATGACTGCTTGAAGTAGAGTAATAGCGATCATTTTATCTTTTAAATTTTATCTTTATTTACTTAATGTTACTTGTATGGATATACCAGATATTTAAGAAACTAATTTATGTTCAAAATAATGTTGTTAAAAGATTTTTTTATCCTGTATTGTTTAATTGATATCTGAATAATCATCCTATTGTGTCTAAGGCAGTGTCATAACTTAGAAGACAAATGATGAAAAATAGATGTACAAAATATTGATGACTCTGTTTATATGCAGTATCTCTCTAGGCTTAATTTTATTTTATATGTTATCCTAAAAGTCTTCCAAATGGACAGTTTTCTTTGAAGTCAAGATACAATGTACAAACCTACTAAACACACTTTGGGATATTTGCTTAAAGTATATAGACATTGTGCATTTAGCACATATGTGACTCACATTAACTTCAAATGTGAACCTCATGTGCTAATATCAGGTATAGTACATCCACTGTGTTTCTTTTCTTTCTTTTATTTTAATGTATGAGACCTAAAGAATTGTAGATAGCTCAGATATTGTGTAGAATTACTTCTCTGTTTCATTTTTTTTTTGATCAGCAGAAAACTATCAAGAAGGCTAGGTAGAAACTATAGAATATACTCTCGTGGTTTCTACTGTTGTAGATTTTCACTGCTAAAATAGAACACTTAGAAAACATTTTGTATGTGTGTAAAATGTTTATTATAAATTTATTGTATTTATTAACAAATATTTGTTATAACTGTATTATTTTTATATTTTTTTCTTCAACTTTTAAGTTCTGGGCGGGGTATATAAACAGGATATGCAGGTTTGTTACATAGGTATATTAATCCGTTTTCATACTGCTATAAAGAACTACCCGAGACTGGGTAATTTATAAAGGAAAGAGGTTTAATTGACTCACAGTTCAGCCTGGCTGGGGGAGTTCAGGAAACTTACAATCATGGTGGAAGGGGAAGGGGAAGCAAGACCCCTACCTCGCAAGGCAGCAGGTAGTGGAAGTGCTGAGCGAAAGGGAAGAGCCCTTATAAAACCATCAGATCTTGTGAGAACTCACTCACTATCACAAGAACAGCGTGGGGGAAACGGCCCCCATGATTCAATTACCTCCACCTGGTCTCTGCCTTGACATGTGGGGATTATGGGGATTACAGTTAAAGATGAGATTTGAGTGAGGGTCACAAAGCCCAACCATATCAATAAGTAAACTTGTGCCAGGATGGTTTGCTTCACAGATCAACCCATCACCTAGGTATTAAGCCCAGCATCCGTTAGCTATTCTTCCTGATATTCTCCCTCCCACCATCCCCAAGAGGCCCCAGTGTATGTTGTTCCCTCCTTATGGCCATGTGTTCTCATTGTTCAGCTCCCACTTATAAGTGAGAACATGGGGTGTTTGGTTTTCTGTTCCTGCATTAGTTTGCTGAGAATAACAGCTTCCACCTCCATCCACGCCCCTGCAAAGGACATGATCTCATTTCTTTTCATGGCTGCATGGTTTTCCATGGTGTATATGTACCACATTTTCTTTATCCAGTCTATCACTGATGGGCATTTGGGTTGATTCCGTGTCTTTGCTATTGTGAATAGTGCTACAGTGAACATACATGTGCACGTATCTTTATAATGGAATGATTTCTGTTCCTTTGGGTATATGCCCAGTAATGGGATTTCTGGGTCAGATGGTATTTCTGCCTCTAGATCCTTGAGGAATTACCACACTGTCTTTCACAGTGGTCGAACTAATTTACATTCCCACCAACAGTGTAAAAGTGTCACTTTTTCCCCACAACCTTGCCTGCATCTATTATTTCTGGACTTTTTCATAACTGCCATTCTGACTGATGTGAGATGGTACCTCACTATGGTTTTGATTTGCATTTCTCTAATGATCAGTGATGCTGAGCCTTTTTTCTTATGTTTGTTGGCCACATGAATGTCTTCTTTTGAGAAGTATCTGTTCATATCCTTTGCCCAGTTTTTAATGGGGTTTCTTTTTTCTTGTAAATTTGTTTAAGTTCCTTGTAGATTCTACAAATTAAATTTGTTAGTTTTATTATTGTATTTATTAACGTAAATATTTGTTATAAATGTACTGTTTATTTAAATGTAGTATAAAATAGGACAGCTAGAAATATTATGTCATTTCCAGATATTTTGTTTCACCACGTCCATCTCAAGAATAAGGCAAACTATGGTTTGTTTTACTACTGACTCTAAAAGCAATCACCTTTAAAATGAAAATTTCAGAGGGTTTACAATTGATTACTATGTAAATTCAATGTGATTTTACTGAAGCATACTATAAAGCAGGTGTTTTAGTTGTTGAACCCCTAAATAATTAGCCCTAAATAATAATAGGAAAACTTTTTAACATTTTAATCTTTGTGTGGGTTACTTTCTCTAATATTCTGGGCTGGAGGCTTAACGGTTGCTTCCATTGCTGCTCCTTGTGCAGTGTTAAATTGATGTTCTGTGGCAGGACATGGGTAATTGGTTAAGACTCCAGTGTTGACAACTTGAGCGTTCAGAGGAAGCACAGCAACAGTTATCCTGGCAACTATGAAGCAGTGTGTCTGGCATAGAACAGCATTCAAATTATTCTGCTGTTGAATGACCTTAAGTCAGGAACTGTCTATAGATATTTGGGCTGGGGGCATGGAAAATAAAGAAAGCTAGGGTAAATCACAAGAGGCTAGAGAGAGAATATGACTAAGAAGAGTATATATGTTCTCATTAATTTATTGGCAAAAGCAAAAAGAGTTATTCATCTATCTTCTTTTTTTTATTTTTTTTATTTTTTTTTAATTTATTTATTATTATTATACTTTAAGTTGTAGGGTACATGTGCATAACGTGCAGGTTTGTTACATATGTATACTTGTGCCATGTTGGTGTGCTGCACCCATCAACTCGTCATTTACAT